ATGAAAACGTTTTTTCACCTTTTCGACAGCATATATCTAGCACACCAAAGGCTTCGATGAAAACGGAAGCATCAACAACCGACGCGTCGACTACACCTACCAATTCTGCATCTACTGATTCAAGTATTGACGCAAGAGAGCACAAGCGGTATGGCCTACGGAAAGAAGTTGTACCCCCTCAACGTTTTGGTTACGATTACATGGGCTGTTTTGCAGCTATCCCAGAACCGGATTCATATGATGACGCGGTGAATTCGGAATATGCAGAAAACTGGAAAGTGGCTATAAACGAGGAAATAAGCTCCCTTGAGCTTAATCATACTTGGGATTTGGTCGAAAAACCCTGTGATAAAAATATTGTAGGCTGCAAATGGGTGTTTAAAATTAAATGAATACTAAATCAAAAACCAGTATTTAAAGCACGATTAGTGGCCAAAGGTTACTCGCAAGAACCTGGTATAGACTATAAGGAGACATATTCGCCAGTAGTGCGATATGATTCAGTGAGAGTTGCCATGGCGATAGCTGCTTTTGAAGATATGGAGATGATGCAATTTGATGTAAAAACTGCGTTTTTATATGGCGACCTCAGTGAGGAAATTTATATGAGTATTCCAAAAGGCATCAATGTTACTTCCGGTAATAATTTAGTTTTGCGTCTCAAAAAGGGTCTTTACGGCCTTAAGCAAGCCTCTCGTAATTGGAACTCAGAATTTACTGATTTTTTTACAAACGTATAAAATGAAGCAATCCAGATCCGACCTTTGTGTCTTTTATGGGAGTATTCAAAATCGTAAGATTATTTTGCTTCTATATGTTGATGATGGGTTGATAATATCTCCTAGCAAAACTGCTTTAAATTTATTTATTGAAAAATTGTCAAGCAATTTTCGTATCACTTATGGTGAAAACAATTACTATGTTGGACTTGAAATTCACAGAGACAGATTAAATAAAACTATTAAAATCTGGCAGCGTCCCTATATATTAAAAATACTTAAAAGATTTAACATGGATGATGCAAAAGATATTTCAACACCAAGTGACAGTAATGTGTATCTTTCGAAATCTAGCGAGGAAGGCAATGTAAAATATCCATTCAGAGAAGCTGTGGGCTGTTTGATGTTTGCAGCTACTGTATCCAGACCTGATATTTCGTATGCAGTTGGCGAAGTTAGTAAATTCACCGAAAATCCTAAAAACTGTCATGTACAAGCCGTCAAGAGGATATTTCGTTACTTGAAAGCGACAATAGACTACTGCATAGAGTACAGATCAGGTAATGCTCTTCAATTTTAAGGCTATTCTGATGCAGATTTCGCTCGTGACATCGATACAAGGCGATCTACAACAGGCTATGCGTTTCTCATAAACGACAGTGTCGTAACCTGGAGGAGCCATCGTCAAAAAACGGTTACTTTGTCCACAACGGAAGCCGAGTGTATGGCCGCGTGCGAAGGGGTCAAGGAGTTAATTTGGCTTCAACAACTTCTATCTGATGTTGGTTACGTTCAATATTCACCTACGATTCTTAACGTCGATAATCAGGGTGCAATTCGACTTATAGGAAATCCGGGATTGCATCACGGTACGAAGCATATTGATATAAGGCTGCATTTCATCAGGGAGCTACAAAAGAATAAAGCTGTTGAATTCAAATATGTCAACACTGAGCTGCAACGTGCTGATATATTTACGAAGCCCTTAACAAGTCAACGTTTTAAGAGTAATTTAAAGCTTTTAGGGATGTCGCATTTAAACAATGAGTGAGAGTGTTGAAAGCAACATTGTTTAATGGGAACACTAAATTGCAAAATCAACTTTCGTTAAGTTCATTAATACGTGGCATGTTTTAATTGGCTATTGTATTCAGCTATTTAACTTTGTTGTCTGACATTCCTAACTGTCATTTTTTTTTTCATATATAAAAACCTGTACATAGAATATTTTTTCTANCCCTATATATTAAAAATACTTAAGAGATTTAACATGGATGATGCAAAAGATATTTCAACACCAAGTGACAGTAATGTGTATCTTTCGAAATCTAGCGAGGAAGGCAATGTAAAATATCCATTCAGAGAAGCTGTGGGCTGTTTGATGTTTGCAGCTACTGTATCCAGACCTGATATTTCGTATGCAGTTGGCGAAGTTAGTAAATTCACCGAAAATCCTAAAAACTGTCATGTACAAGCCGTCAAGAGGATATTTCGTTACTTGAAAGCGACAATAGACTACTGCATAGAGTACAGATCAGGTAATGCTCTTCAATTTTAAGGCTATTCTGATGCAGATTTCGCTCGTGACATCGATACAAGGCGATCTACAACAGGCTATGCGTTTCTCATAAACGACAGTGTCGTAACCTGGAGGAGCCATCGTCAAAAAACGGTTACTTTGTCCACAACGGAAGCCGAGTGTATGGCCGCGTGCGAAGGGGTCAAGGAGTTAATTTGGCTTCAACAACTTCTATCTGATGTTGGTTACGTTCAATATTCACCTACGATTCTTAACGTCGATAATCAGGGTGCAATTCGACTTATAGGAAATCCGGGATTGCATCACGGTACGAAGCATATTGATATAAGGCTGCATTTCATCAGGGAGCTACAAAAGAATAAAGCTGTTGAATTCAAATATGTCAACACTGAGCTGCAACGTGCTGATATATTTACGAAGCCCTTAACAAGTCAACGTTTTAAGAGTAATTTAAAGCTTTTAGGGATGTCGCATTTAAACAATGAGTGAGAGTGTTGAAAGCAACATTGTTTAATGGGAACACTAAATTGCAAAATCAACTTTCGTTAAGTTCATTAATACGTGGCATGTTTTAATTGGCTATTGTATTCAGCTATTTAACTTTGTTGTCTGACATTCCTAACTGTCATTTTTTTTTTCATATATAAAAACCTGTACATAGAATATTTTTTCTACTACTTCTTCGTTCGTTTAATATTGCAAATAAAACATTTACATATACTTGCTTAATTGACCTCGCCCGTGTATTGATTTAACAGGCCCCCTTGCGGTAAGCAAGCTGAGAAAAAAAAGGAGTCGCGTCTCAACCGTCACACGCACGTGAGGAAAACCTCAAGGACTAACTATAATATGCAGAGCCGATTTTGTACTGCGCGGGTCTGCTTATTCGCCAACGCTTTCGTCGCGACCGGCTCATCTGAGGCTGTGGAGAAAAGGACATTGTTAATTGAAACAGACGTGGTTTGGAATTTCAATGCACTTTTTTATTTAAATTTTAAGGTCTGTGTGTGTGATGAGTGTGTGTGCATGTGTGGTTTTGTTTTCTTAATCTCTACTTTTATGGTTGGCAGGCTCCCGAAACAACCAGACCGTATATGGTCGCCTGGACCAGGAGACCACACACGGTGGATGGGGGGTCCCGCTCACCATCATCTGCGCATGCAAATCGAGGCCCAGTGTGAGGCGTATTGGTGACGCGCGAAAGAACTGCGGATCCGCCAAGCGCATGAACTGGAAAGGCGCCGCGACCTTAGGGTCCACGTTCGAAGGTGGACTCATACGTATGTGGTGGTCCAGCACGACCGCTTGCGTCGTAATCCGGTCGGAGTTGCCGTATCTTCTACGCGTGGCGATCGTGCAACGCTGAAGTCGTCCGGACCCATTGCGTTCCAGCTGGAGATCTCTCACTAGTTCCGAATCAACCAACGAGTTCGGTGCGCAAGGGTCAATCATTGCGCGGACCAAATGAAGGCGGCCCCTTGCTTCAATCCTCACTATTGCGGTCGGCGCGATGGGTATAAGCGCACGAATAATTGGCGTTGGTATTGCGCTTTGCGTTAGGCGGCCTGTTCGGAAGCCGGTAGGTGGAACGTGTTGTAGGGCACGATTACCATTTTTGTTCTCGTCGGAGCGGTTTTTGCGGTATGGTGTTGATTTTCGTAGTCTGGGCGATCGCTTAGACGAGCGGAAAGGACGAGTTTCCGCGCCGTCGCGTCGTTGCTGCTTACGCTGTGATCGTGATGACGGGCGGAAAGGACTTGTTTCTGCGCCGCCGTGTTGTCGCCAGTTATGTTGTGGACGCGTTTGCGAGCGGAAAGAACGAGTTTCCGCGTCGCGCCAGTTGTATTGTGCGCGGGTTGGCGAGCGGAAAGGACGAGTTTCCGCGTCGCCCTCGCGTGGTGGTAACTGGTCTAATCGTCTGGGGGTGTCAGTTCCCGAGGTGCGCTCTTCTCGCTCATGTGGGAAAGAGTCGAACCTCTCTAATCCCTCCACTTCCTCCACTTCGACCTGCTGCGCCCACGACTTCGTCTGCTCCGGAACGTCGATAGAGAGTGCCCCGTCCGAGCTCTCGCCGTCGTTGATCGCGTTCGCTGGTTGTCTTTGGTCTTCGCAGTCATCGAGATGGAGCGAGGTGTGATGCTTTTCGCGACATCGGTGGCATCGATCCTTGCTGCTGCACATGTCGAGGCGGTGGAACGGCGAGAGGCAGTTTGGGCAGTATTTATGCAGCAGGACTGCACGAAACCTTGCTTCGACCGCTTTGCCGTGGTAAAGGGGGCATAGTCAAATGACATGAGCTCCGCCGCATACCCGGCATGGAACAGTAAATTTGTCAGCGCGTTCTTCCGCATGAGCGCGATTGGCCGAGAAACGAGTCATTCTGTAAATGTGTCTCGTAGTTATGCCCGTAGGTGCAAAAAAAGAGAATCTTCAAAAATTTACATACTGTTGTTAGTTGGGTGGCAAGTGGCGAAAATCTTTGATTGTATAGCTCAGATTTGAAAGTACATTTTGCTATACTTATGTATGTATGTACATCCTTTTCCGTTTATCTCTTAGTTGCAATTTACTTTAGCACCGAACACATTTTCGTTGGCAAGTTAGCTATCATTGCATCTTGTTTGATGCACATGGAAATTCTACGTAAAATATTGTAGGCGTGCAAATTCAGTATTATGCTTCATTAAAAAATGTTTTGTGTAAACTTGGCATTACTTACGGGTTTGNAGTGCAAATTCTGTATTATGCTTCATTAAAAAATGTTTTGTGTAAACTTGGCATTACTTACGGGTTTGACTTTTCAGAATTCTCCCCAGGTGGCGCTCATAACATTATACTACGACGCAGTGCCGTATTGTAGAACGAGGAAAAAAATTCGGCTTAGTTATTAATTTACGTGGGGTTTCCCTTTAGTTTTATTTGGTTTGTAAGAAATAAAGGAGAAAATTTGACAAAATTAGAAGCATCTCAGTTCTGAGCAAAGTATGAAGATCCCTTCGTTTCGACGATATAGGGGTTCTTATATCGTATACGATATAGCAAACTCCTGCCTTCTGGCAAGGTTGTTATGTGTCAGCTGTTTGTAGTTCTTTACGTTTCTCCGTGTCAATTCGTTTTGTTAAATTATTGGGAGATAGATTGTTTATTACATAAAGATGGCGCATCCCGAGGAAGGATAGGAAAAACATCAGTGTGAATATCCGCTAGGGCCATTCTTTGCTTTGGTTGAGTCGACAAGCGTAATTTAAGCAACAGTGATCCGCAGAGCTATAGGCTTTGTTTGTGTGACAGCGGGAATCGTGTAAGAGGTGCACGCAGAATGCTCGCCTAGCCGCCGAACTCAGTGGACACGGAAGTTCACATCCGAAAGCAGCTGTCTCAATGATTGGTGATGGAACGACTGATTTGGGGCAGCACATCCATCGAATTATGTTATTGGTTTTGGAGGCAGGATGACCGAGCACAGTCTTATATTATAGATGGTTCGTCCTGATGTGGTGTCACAATGAAGAAATGCCTTTTCACCCTACCTATCGCTAAAATAGGCTGTTGAAGGGCCTGCTAGCGCATAGGTTCGACATATATTGATAAATCGTTATGAAAGTCATATGGTGGCAACGTGACTTAGTGCCGCTTCAACATAATATGCATGTATATGTACTTAAGTAGATATGTATGTACTTGTTATATTGAATAATAAATGCTTTCAATAACGAAATATTCGCGACAACATTGTAGTTTCTGGGAACAAGTATAGATTTCGGAAAACCCTGAATTCATGGAATTGCAAAAGGAAATAAATTGTATTAATGGGCATTAGTAGAATGAAAATCTATAACTTGGGTTTTTGTGGAGATATGTAATGCATTATGGTGCATTTGAAAAGTTTGCAAACTCGATTTTCTGTTTAATTTTGTGTGTAGCCGGGGATGTGGTTTGACGACCTGGGCCTGCCACCCGAAAAAACTAAAGAATATGGAATCATTATACTGGCGGTCTCTCTTGCTAAATGCGTTAGAAACAGCTGCTTAATAATGTTGACGAAATTAACAGCCAGTTTAAAAAAAAAAATGAATTTGAAACCGTACTGAAAGGTGTATTCCACAAAGTGTGATTGACAGCTCAGGTAGGCTCTCTTTTAAGGTACTGTTATGCCAAAAAGTATAAACAAGCGATTCAGAATTCATAAAAATGTATTATTTTTTTGTTTCTTCTGAGCGCAATGTCAAATTCAATCACACTTTGTTGAATACATTCTGGCGGTACGTGAGAAAAAGGAGACATTTGATGGCTGTAAATGTTCTTGTTTGATATGATAACATGCTCTTCACGTACATAGACGTCAACGCAATTTATTGAACGTGCAAGCGCAAGGTAAGTACATAAGCATAACGTATAACCGAAAAAGTGGCACCTCTAATGGAATCAGAGGTGTTAAAAAATAGGGATAGCAACAAACTTCGCGATCTTCCTCAATGGCTGAGCTGTCGTTCATTTTTAACCATGAGGTAAGTGCAGCGGTATTATTCGTATTTGCCGTATTTTCTATTTTACACATTTGGTTAGTTCGCAATTCATATATTCGCTTGATTTTTTTCTTTTTACAGATGGAATGACGCCGCGACTTGTGTTTTTCTTTTCCTCCAGAAAAGTGAAGAGTGCTGGGGCAAAAATTTAGAAAACGAAAATTTAATTTCACTTTCACTACGTTAAACAACTATTTCCGTTTTGTAGCGAAGCAAATACCGCCCATCGGGTGAAGTCGAACACTCAAAATAAGATCTAGCTGAGAGGTGCTGGTGCGTGAAGGAGTAATGTCCAGACGGCAAATAACTCTTCCAATAATTGCCAGCAGTTCGATGTACTGCTATGCATGTAAATAGCAAAAGGGCATAAAGAGGAATTGTTAAAATAATAAGTACTCTGGGAGTGATTAAGTACATGAATTGGAGAAATAACCAGTCAAAGTTGAGAAGCGAATGTACAAAGTGTACTTATCTGTAGGTAGTGTAATACACGGCAAAATTATCGAACTTAGGTAAGCAACGCTTGCCAGCGCGCAGCATTGTGTTCCGACACACGCGACGTGAAGAGCTAAGTATTTTTGCTAAGTGAGGATGCAAAGTGCAGCTAGAAAATAATTAACCGTTTTCGTCTGGATAGACGCACTGCAGTTACATGCGAAAACTTTAGCCAACAAACAAAAGGTATTCTACGCCACCACCACACAAATCCCATCCACCTAACCAATTCATGCCAGCCGCTATGGGAAATTATGATAATGATGGCAAGAAGTCAACACCATGCGCCAATTGTATGGCGGCGTTTAAGTGGATACCAGTCATATTCATCTCCGCCGTTATTGCGTGGTCCTACTACGCTTATGTAGTACAACTTTGCTTATTATCCATTGACAACACCTTTGAAAAGATCGTTTTTCTCATATTCTATCATATAATATGCATGCTGTTTTTCTGGTCTTATTCGAATACCATATTTACACCAGTGGGTACAGTGCCATCAAATTGGCGCATACCTGAATCAGACACTGAACACATTTCCCATGCAGACACACAGGAACAACAAAAGCGAATTTTAGAAAACTTTGCCAAAACGCTGTCAGTCACAAATCGTACTTTAAATGGATCGGTGCGTTTTTGTGAAAAATGCAAAATAATCAAACCAGATTGCGCACATCACTGCAGTGTCTGTGGTTCCTGTGTACTCAAAATGGATCACCATTGTCCCTGGGTAAACAATTGTGTTAACTTTACAAATTACAAGTTTTTTGTACTCTTCTTGGGATATGCGCTACTATATTGTCTTTATGTGGCCTTAACATCGCTCGAATATTTTATACGCTTCTGGCGGGGTGATTTAAATGGTGGCATGGGTCGTTTTCACATATTGTTCCTGTTCTTTGTGTCGCTGATGTTTGCAATAAGTTTGGTGAGCCTCTTCGGTTATCACGTTTACTTGACGCTCATGAACCGCACAACGTTAGAGGCTTTCCGCGCGCCAATTTTTCGCATATGTGGTCTAGATAAGAATGGCTATAATTTGGGAAAGTATGCCAATTTCCAAGAAGTGTTCGGCGATAACTGGAGACTGTGGTTTTTGCCAGTATACACGCAAAAGCAGATTGGGGAGTGGCGTTTTTTTTGTTTCTGTTATATTACATATATCCACTTACTTTGGCTAAAGCAAAAAAAAAGGCAGCAGATCCCTTTGTTTCCCTAATTGAAATGTTTTCTGGTTATGCCCATCTAAAAAGACGAACACCAGAAGGAGGAATCCCAAGGCCGGATTATAAGAGTTTCATACCAGCTTATGATCCAATTAATTGGGAATACCTCTCTAAACGTAGCTGGGACATTGGAGGTTTTCGAGGAATGCACCAAGAGTCCAAACGAGCGGTTACAACTTCACGCGCTTTCTGGATATTGTAATATTTGTATGTAGCACATACATCAAGCGATTGGTTTTATTTATCACCGCCATACCTACATACATACGGGATTTTATTTAGTCGTGCTGCAACTAAAATGAAAGGACCTTCGTGAATTGCATCGTTCTTTTGGAGGTTGAGAAACGCCCGATTCTGGCTCTGTAGGTGGAAAGAGCTGGGTAGCGAACTTTCGTAATGGTGACGGTATACTAAAATATTTATTTGATATTCCACCGATGGTAGCTAATTTTCTGTGATTTATTGGTTTTATTCTAGGTGAACGAATTACAGCCTTTTCTAATAGCGTCAATACATATTATGACTGGTAAACGTAATGGTAGTGTGCAACGTAGTACTGTAGCGACCCATCGCTCCGATCCCTGTAGCAGATATGCCTGTGACCGCCAGAAAAGTAGCAGCAACGACGGCAACGACGTAATCGTTTGAGACCATGGTTGATGATCAGCACCAGCAGGTACTGGCGTTTGCAACGTATTGCTATGGGTGAGTGATGAAAGCTCTTTTATTTAAAGCTCCATTTTCATTCAAATTCTGTATTAATGCTGAACTGAAGGTGCGTCATCTACTTAGAGAATATAGAATATAGAAAGCCTATTACGAGCTGACCCGCATCTATCATCTGAAATTTCGGTATATACATACAAAGGGTATCGACGATCGTGTTTAAAGGTGTTATGCTTTCCTTTTATGACCTAATCAATGGAAGAAACGAGCCCGTTGGCAAAAATACGTATGCGACAGTGCCACCCCGATCAGTTCAACGTAGTCTGAACTAGGGATGTTTCGAATATCACATTTTCCACATTCGCGTATGCGAATGCGAATTTTCGGAAGGCGAATGTGTATAATAATATAAATATTTGCAACATCCCTGTTCTGAACATTGGCATACATATGTATGTAATGATTCTTCACTGCTGAACCCGAATGTAAAATATAAGGAAGTAGAAGTGCAAGCGTGTTGTTATTTTACCCATTGCACTGATTCCACAATATTGGAAGTGAGCTTGTGGCTTGTTCAACTGAGTAGTTGAATGAAAAATTAACGATGAGGCGGTATGGAAATATTCGATGCCAATTTCCCCCTCCCCCACAATTCAATCTGATAGGGAATTTACATGAGGCGATTTTACAGGCAACTTTTAGTTGAATGCAGCAGTTGAATGGTGTAAATGGCCTTTCCACTAATCGCTTTCAATGAAGTTGGTCCGCTGCCCACTTGAGTTCAACCTTTGGTTCAACCAATCGCCTGTGAAAGTTGAATCATGTAAATTCGCTTTAATCTAGTTTAATCGTAGGCTGATTATGCGTCTTGCATATTCTTTCTTATCTTTTCAAATTATTTGGTCTTGAAAATGTCAAATATTTTAATTTCTTTTTATACAACTTCAAAATTGCTCAAGTATTCATAGCGATAATTCTGTAGCTGGAATATTTGGCATTTTAGATGTGGGATTGCGTAGGGAGTAAGAAGTGGAATAGCTGGGTTTTGTGAAGTGGAATTAATAGTAAGGGAGTTTATTCAGATATTGTGCTGTTTTCGTTGCAGGGCGGAAGTAGGACCAATTTTGCAATTGGTCTTGTAATTTCTCCCTTAGCTGTGTCGATGTCGACTACTCTTACTAGGTTGTCGGAACCTGGGTGTAGCTTGACTATTCTGCCCAATCTCCATTCGTTTGGTGGCAGGTTTTCTTCTTTAACGACGACCAGGTCCCCTTGTTTTAAGTTGGTTTGTGGATGTTTCCACTTGATGCGTTTCTGCATCTCGGTGAGGTATTCCAGTTTCCATCTCCTACAAAATGTCTGATGTAGGGCCTTCAGTTTCTGCCATCGATTTACGATCGATTTCGGGTGGGGCAAGAAGATGCCCGCCGACTAGGAAATGACCTGGGGTAAGTGGCTCCAGGTCAGACGGTTCGTTTGAAGAGGGGCTTAGTGGTCGTGAGTTGAGACAAGACTCAATACGGCATAAGAGTGTG